ATAATACACATATATATATATATATATATATATATATATATATATATGTATATGTGTATATATTGAAGTTATTTTGACTTCTTTAATGAGAGGGTTTACTGTATCAGTCTTAAAGATGATTCATTTAAATGCTAATTTGCTAACTAGCGTCATTTGTACATATAATACATTCGTTCAAATTCTGGTGCGACATATGGCCCTCGAAAAAATTCTGAGACATAGTACAAAGTGGTAAAACTAACCAAAGTTAGTTAATAACGTTATAGTTGACGATTTTTAAAGTGTAAAGTTCCATTGTCATTTTCACAGCATCATCAACTTTTTAATGGAGTATAATCATTCAATTTTAATTATTAAGCTAGCTTATCGAATTTTTTTCGGTCCAAAGATGAGATCGGCATCGGGTGCTCCTTTAGGGTGATTATATTTTTGTCGTCGTTCTCTATTCAAGTTTACAGTGACTGGTCTCGTACTTTGATTCATAGTTTCTTGATAATCTTCCTCTTCTTGCCTCTCAGTAATGTTTAAAGTTAGTCTCTTCACGCGCTCTTTCTCTTCTTTTTGTTCTTGTTCACGATTTCTGAGATTCATAGCCAACTCAGATGACACTGGAACTGCGAGATTCTTGTACTGTTGTTTGTTACCCTTTCTCAGCATCAACACAAAGTCTACTGTGCTATTGTCAGTTGGTCTCTCCTGCAGTTGTTCGTATGTCTTCTTTGTACTCTTCACGTGTAATGGTACGGAGATATCCACTTGTTGTGGCTTTACCGAATCTCGCATGCGGTCCTGTATGTTGTCTGAAACCATTTTATCCAGCGCCGACAGGAAATCATCGTCTTCTGGACAGCTCACCCGTCGTGGTCCGGACGGTAAAGCTGCATTCAGTTCCTCTGTCACATCTACAATCACGCCTTCAGTGCCACCATCTGCTGATAGACTTTGAGATCGATCACCCTGAGTGTTTTCTTGGGTGCCCATAGTATCGTCTCGTTCTGCATCGGCTGTCCATTCCTCTTCCGACTGCGCTTCCGAACAATCTTCGGATTCTTCGAAATGCAGTTCAGCCATACCTTTGGCATCCCCGCTACCATTTCCAGCCAATGCTGCTTCTTCATCGCCTTCCAGGATAACGCCCATGTCGTTTTCGCCTTCGGCAGTAGTATCATCAATTGGAGGATTACCCAAGGTTGGGTAGAGAGTGTTGCGCAATTCTTCTACGGCGCATTGCGCTTCCTTGTAATTCTGGAATAATTGCATTTTGGGTCGTAGCATCGTTAATGTGTCACGATACATGTAATCTATCCCAACGGGGAACGGATTCTCGGACGTCCAGATCGGATCCGTATACTTAAACCAGAAATAGTTTTGGAAGAATACGAGAAAATAATCGAGTTTCTTCTTGCTTGATCCGCCGCTGAAGTATTGGCCACAAGTCTCCAATAATGTGCACACTAGACGAATACGAAAGAGATGATCAGGCGGATCGAGCACACTTTGCAACGAATGATCCACACTGACGCCAAAAGTAATAAGCAAGTACAAAGTACGGAAAATATCGCCGCTCTCCACCATTCGATAATTATACAGCTCGCCCAAATACTTGACCATAGCAATGCGTCGTTGATTGAATTTAGGCAGGTTGATTTCCATGCACAGTCGTATATCTTCGAGTACACCGTCGACCACCTGTGGCCCGATCGTCTCATAATGGGCCACCAAGCCGGCCAACAGGCTTCCCACGCATCGAATATTGGGATATTTAACATTGTAGGCGGCAGTGAGACATTTTATAGCATAGGATGACACGCTCTCGTCCTCCCAGTCAAGTTTGCGCATCCACTTAAGCACCTTGTCAGTATTCGTCTTAGAGAGATCCTGATAAAGTAGTTTTCTAATAAATTCATGTACGGGCGGTCTGTCCTTCTTTGTAACGCCGCCAGTCGATTCAGGTGGATTCACGAAGTAATACGCATTCTCGATGATTGTGACATAGCGCGAATCAAGTGCAGTAACTGCTTTTTTGCGCATCATTTGTTCCAGATAAACCTTGGTCCTTTGATGAGAATCCGGCGAACAGAAGAGATATCGGCCGCAAATCTCTAACAAGTTGCAAGCCATTTCAATGTGATGATGCGTAAAATCGTGTAGTAAAACCTTCAGACAATATAATGCTTCTATTTTGGAGTAAAGTTTGAACTTCACGAGTTCACCGATATAGCGGACCACTTTGATCTTCGACTCAATATTGATCTGATCCTTCTTACGAACATGGTATTTAAAATCTTGTTTCAACATCTGACACAAGTCGTTGCCAATCTCTGGCATTACTGGATAAAGAATGGCTGCTAAGCGAGAATAAAAGGGTAGTAAATCCTGACGGATTCTAGAAACGCCGAAAAGAGCTTTTACCAGCTTCTTCTTGTTATGCTTTGTGTTGAGATTCATCAGGAAGTTGACTGCGGCATTGTCAATCATTTCGCGATTTACACAGTTTGGCAGATGCGTCAGAAAAGCGTCCAGCAGTATCTTGTTACTTGTGTTGGAAATCTGAGGCTCCTCCACTTCTACCTCAAGTGGCTCTTCGACCTTCTCAGTTTCTTCCAACTCGTCAAAGACAATTTCCTCATCGAGAGCATCTTCCGTTATTGCCGTGTCCGTCTTTGGGATATCTTTCGGGGTGTCCTTCAAATACGAGCCTGGTAGAAAAACAGTCAGATCCGGGAACACCTCATAGAAACGTCTTGTCTCTTCGTCACCCCACATATCCTCTAACATAGCGTTATCTTCTCCTTCATTAATCATCTTCAGTGTTTCCTCCACTTCTGCTTTTATTTCATTGTCCACTGGAAGCTCCGGCATTGGTTCATCTAGCGTATCGGAAAAACTCTGTACATTGGTTAATAGACGCTCATAACAGACTTGTAGAGCTTCAAGCTTTTCCTTTCGTTCCGAACTCAGTTCTCCCCTAGTCTGTAGTATCTTGCGATTTTGTTTCTCGAATGCCTGCAGTTCCTTGTGCTCCTTTAACATATGTTTACACAAGGAATTATAATACTCACGTAACAACAGCTTAACATTCTGCTGTTTGTCCGGTGATAACATTTTACTCTTTGGAATTAAAACGTTCAATTTCTCAGACAGCTCTCGCACCCTTTTAGGTACAAGACCAGCGTAATCTTCGCCACAATGTCGACAAAAACTCAATATTATGCTAGCATTATTATGCTCCTCTTTGTCCATATTGATCAATACAGTTAATACCGAACCAAGTAGCGGCAAGCCCTGCTTATGCGTAAATATTCCAGCATTTACCAATTCTGCATAGAATCGCAAATCTACTCTCAGTTTACTAGGATTTGTTATCTTATCGCCGACCTTCAGTGATAGTATCCTTTGCCAATTTTCAAAAAAATGAGTGGAAAATTCAACGTATGTCTGATGGAGAAAACTACATACCCTAATAGCAGGTGCTACGTCAATCATTTTTATTTTAGCATCTACCAGAGCGGTGGCAACTTCGCTCACGTATTTGGTCAGATTTAAAGTCGCCATATCTTTCAAAACTGTGTCGAGTTGAGCCATGCTAAAGTTCTTCAGTTTCTTGACAAATGTAGTGTTTTTCTTGAGGCTCGAGTCAAGTTTACTGAATGATGCATCTGGGGGCCTTGCAGGATTGAGATTGGCCGCGCGAATCTCTTCCTTCGTTGTGAGTCTCTGTTCTGTTTCTCGCACATACTCAGTCAAGAACTGCCGGTCCTTTTCCGAGATCGCATCCGGTTCTTCCGCGATAGTTTCTTTCTCAGCCGGTGCCGCTTCGTTCGCGTTTTCGGACATTGTAGAATACTCTGCAATGCAAAGAAAATCGTGTCACTCGCACTTTTCCTCGGCAAATGTAATGTCTCAAATTAAAATGCAATTGAATTTAAAAAAAAACTTCTTTCGTTGCGGCACTAGAACAATTAAGTATTATCCTAAAGATAATTTACCAATTTAGCAAAGAAAGATTATATACATACAGGTTACTTCATAAATCTTAATTAGATATCTACCTGAAGAAATCGTTTGATAAAACTATTCCACTTGTTTACTATCGCGTCCGAGAACTTGATAAGGTTAGGTACGTTATGTTATGGCAGACGACAATCCGCTCCATTTGCTTCATAAACTATAAACACTTGATAAATGCAACTGCAGTCTTGTCATTCCTGTTCTTTCTGAAACTGAATCCTGCGCAGTGCACGTGTATGACCGGTATCCATACTATTCATAATTGGTTCTTATATTCCAACTTTCTTAAGAAATGTCTTAAGGTGCCTTTTCATACCGACGCTCGATGCTCATTTTCGAAGTCAAAATAAATCACGTAATCAAAATTGACGCTTGTAAAGCTAGTCACACACACACTTTTTGTATCAGTAACAATAAGATTTTCGACCAATCACGTTGCTTGATTGTTACGGTTATGGACGATCCATTACTGATATTACCATTGTAGACCACATATTATGTTTTCCTTAAGCAGTAGCAGTAGTGAATTAAAGAGTAGTCGTACAAATCGACTAATCATTGTTGAATGTGAGAAAAATAATCAACTTCTGCTTAAGGAAAACATAATACGTGGTCTACAATGGCAGTATTAGTAATGGATGAGGCTGTAAGAGTAAGAAATTGACCACTCACAGTCGATTATTCTTCTTACATTCAACTGTGATTGGTTAATTTATTACTTTTATAACCTCATTCATTACTGATACTGCCATTGTAAACCATGCATAAAATCGTTCTGTTTTCTCATAATTACATTTTAGAAGAAATCTGAAATTGGCTTCGTGGATTGCACAATTTGTTTACAGAATTATAGAACGCATAAAAAGAAATCCTAGAAAACACGATTTCACGAGAAAATCAGAAAAAAATTCAAAATTAAAAAATTCATTTTTTTGGCATGTATAACCAGAAAGAAATCTGAGAGAAGATATGAGGGACTTTTTCCTGTAATTGCAAAATGCCCCCGCAAACTACTGACTTCTGAAGAAGTGGATGCAAATTAAACAACAATGGTCAGTATTCATAGTCCAGTTCTTATTTCAAGACTGTCTTAAGTAATATCTTAAGACGCTAATACAGCTCTCTGATTGATTCGTGACTTCTTAAGATTGTATTAAGACGATCATGAATATATAAGATTTGATTATGAAAATCGGCCAATATCTATTTTTATCAGTGCTTTCAATGAAAATAAATCGCTGAAATTGTTGAAATCTCTATTAATTTAATAGATAGATAGATTAAAGATTTATTTCAGCGATTTCAACGATTTACTTAATCATCGGGAGCACATGATTTATTTCCATAAGAAGCATATACAATTTGTTATATTTTACAAATATTTTCTAAAGATGTCAAAATATACGTAAAAATCATTTAATAATTTTTATATACTTATAAAAGTGATAAAAATTAATCCAGAATGATCCAACGTGTATAGT